CGGAATTACTAGCTGATAGCATGAAGATGTTAAGAAAGTAGTTTTGTCTAGCTTTTTGGATGTCTTTATTTAGATGATTGCAAAATTTTTCGATGATGCTAAGTAGCTGTGGGTCACAAAAAAAACAGAAATGCATTATACATTTCATTCTTTTCATGAATTTGATGCAACAGATCCCGTGTAATTCATGGCTTCCTAATTTTTTTAGATAGGCGGTGGGTAATCCGAGGGAAGTTATGGTCATGTGATTCCTTAAATTTTCCTAATGAATGTATTGACAACAATGTTCGAGTTGTCATTTGCAAAAACATCGTTCCAGGACGTATGAACTAGTTCCCAACGAAAATTTTCAAGATTTTTAGTTGTTATAGAACGCATTGGTATAGAAAATCATTTCTTTTTCATTTGTTGCCTAATAACTAAAGTAAGGAAAGGTGATCGCTTATTTCGTATAAAATGGTCTCAGCTTTAATATTCTCGAACTAACATTCGTGAGAAACACATTGATTAATGTAAATAAATTGGCAGTAACCCTTGTTGGCATATTTATTGTGTTAGGCAGTCCAACGCTATCAAACAAACATGTCATCTCATGTTTAGAAGTTTCATTAGACAGCATGTCAACATTAATGTCGCCGCCGCAAACAGTTAAATAGTCATTCAGCATAGCATTGTGAAATAAGTTCTTCAAATGAGCCGCAAGAGTTCTAATACTTCCAGATGGAGGAGGGTACATAACTGAGATGACGTGATTGCCCATGACTGTAGTCAGCATTTCACAATCAGGTTCTGAACAATAAAATTCTGTTAAGACTTGACAATCAAAGGTTACCTTTACAAGTAAGCAGACACCACTGTGCGTACGATTAAGACAGAACACGTAACCAGGCATAGAAAACGGGTTATCATCATTCGTGTACCAAGTTTCATTCAGCATTATGATGTCAAATTGAAAATGAAGCTCTGAAAAGAAGGAATCTAGCGATGCATATTTGTTTCTTGGGAACTGGCAGTTTAGCTGGAAAAATTTTATGCCGGGCATATAGTTGCCTCCAATGTATTTATGCAGATCTGATGGTAAAATAAACATGGTTCCTAAAAAGTAAAGTTATCAACAATCTTTATGTTTCAAGGAGGATTTCGCAAAGTCCTCCCTCTTCTTTACAAGAATGGCAGGAAAACCATCCTTGCGACTCATTAGAACTTTGTCGTTTGCACACCATACAAAACAGACATCATTCTCTCGCACCCATTATTTTGTCTCCCAAAGTAGACTTCGCATTTGTTTGGTTAAGTTCTCTTGAATCATCACTTCCGAATTCTTACGTCACTGAGCTTCTTACGACTATGTAGCCAGCTGTCTCGAACTGACTGTCGTGAGAAATGTACAATGATGCCAGGGGTCCTGTCCGCCTCAGAAGGAAGGCGGTGTATCGTGGTGACATCATTTCCTGTCAGAGCAGGCATCGCAATTGAAGCAGCTATTTTATTTACCTTCTCCAGTGAGTTCTCATGCTCAGTCTTACGGATTCCATTAAACTCCAAATTTAGCTTCCTGTTATAATGCCGCTCTAGTTTATTCAGTTCACCTTTTAAATTCTCGAATTTCTTTAGTGTTCAAGCTTGGTTCTGCAGAATCAATTTTCCGTTTCATATCTGACAACTTGTTATCCTGTTCTTTAATGGCTGCAAGTACTCCATCATACTTGTCAAACAGCATTTGAACACTGGCCTCGATATGTGCAACAGTATCTTTCAGTTTTTTCACCGTCTCTGTTAACTCTGCGATGGCTCGGACACTGGTATGACTGATAACCTTTTTTGCCCGTATTCTTCTGCGTGCTGGACAACGCCACTGTTCTTTTGTTGGATCGGATTTTCCTTTAAATGTTCTTTCACTTATGCCAGAGCAAGTTCCTATGTGATAAGAAGTGAGGCATTCACTACACACGATTCAATCATCATCAGGACCAACAGGCAAGCCACACTCAAAGCAAGATACATCATTAACAGTACACCTGGTGGCAAGTTCCTGGGCAACAGTGTACGGCACAGTGAAGTGTATAGTGTCTTGAAGAATAATAGGAAAGATATGCGTTTCACAAACTTGTAAAATGTGGAGATTCAGTTTAGCACGCACCTTTCCAGTGCCGCTGCTGCTGCCCAAGTGAAGAGGGCGTCAATGGAACTTTCTTTTATAGCTGCTAGAAGGCAGGGGGGGCGTCGTAGTCACTTGAGGTGTCCTCTGCACACGGCTTGCTGACAACAGCTTTACAGACACTTGTAGGTTGGCGATCAGCGATTACTGATGCAGTTGACGCAGACTGAGAGTTCCACGCAACGTCCTGCACGGCCGGTCCCTGGCTACTCTTTCACACGTGTCGCGACAACTGTCGAAACCTCCCCGGGCAATAGACACTGTAAAATGTGGAAGTTCAGTTTAGCGCGCGCCTTTTCTGTGCCGCTGTTGCTGCCCGAATCCTGAACCAGCGACCCCTCTCTTCTTTGGGAGATTTCGAATATGTGTCTCCTTCTGCCCTCCCACCATTTTCACTCTTTCATTCACTGTTTTTATTTGCCGTACAAGACCAAATGAAAACAGTCAATACCTGCGTATTTATTAACGCATTGCATTAGAAACGCGGGTGTGCATTCTTTATTTCTAGCGGCTCTTCAGTGGTCATGTAGAATTTTGATGCATGACCGAGCAAGGGTAACCCTCCAAATCTAGTCAAATTATTTTTCATAGTAAAGGGGGGGGGGGGTGCTTACTCGGGATTTTACTGTAGTGCTACACATTATCGTAAAAACCCGCGTATAGCCCGGGTTTTTTTTCTAAAATTTAGGGTGCGAAATTTCAGCCCCGTACTATATGCGGATCCCAAAAAAGTTTCGGCCAGAATTCAGTTTTGGTTTCGGCATTGGTTGGTGCTATCATCATTATCAGGTGTCTGCGCACTTCTACGTTAGGTGGCGTGGTAGCGTGAGCGGCGTTAAGGTCCTAGATGAAACAAGTTTCCTTAAGCGGCGTTAGTCCTATAGACCTACAGGTACAGGCGTGCATCAGGCGAGCAACATTGGCCATTGCAATCACTTGGCGCACATCACGACGGCCACGATTTTACTTCCGTGATTTTAAGTCATGTTGGGACCGCGCAGGCAGTACTCGGCTGCCTTTAAGAGGAAAGTTATTTCTGCTGCCGAAACCATCGGCAACTGTGCCGCGGAGCGGCAGTTCGGCGTGAATGAGCCACTTGATGTGTGCCTTAATAAACCGTTTAAGGACCACATCAGGCGCCTCTATATGGAGTGGATGAGGTCCGGAGAGCCAGAAGTGACCCCTGCCGGACGGCTGAAACGGGCCTCGCCAGCTCTGCTCTGCTCGTGGATCGCCGAGGCGTGGGCCCGCATTCCCGAGGCGCTCGTTTGCCGTGCCTTCAAGAAGTGCTCCATCTCAAACGTTCTTGATGGCACGGAGGATGAGGTGCTGTGGGAGGACATTTCGAACAAGGGAGATTCGGAAGACAGTGTGTCAGACAAAAACGACGACTAATCGTGCGCGTGCGTGCGTGCGCATGCAAGTGTGTAAATAAATGCATTTTTTCTGTTTTCCTCGAACAATATTCGCGTGAAAATGTTTTTTCTCGCGTTTGCTATCCCCGAGTTACACCTCGGACTATACGTGGGTCCGAACTATACGCGGGTTTTTATGGTACTCTTCAACGAGAGTTGCTTTTCATGTTTATCGCTTATTTGAACTGATTGCGATGTCAGTGCATGTTAAAGAACACCAGGTGGTCAGACTTTTCAGAGTCCTCCTCCATGGTGTCTCTCATAATCATATTGTGGTTTTGGGACGTAAAACTCCAGATAGTATTATTATTAAAGTTGTCACAGATTCTTCCATGTTTCCTCGCTAAGAGGTCAGCTGCTACACAGAACACTTTCTCTATGCATGTGCTGGAGAGAAGGGCAGTGCAATCGACCCTCATTAAAATGAAGTTGCATGTTAGACAAAATTAAGTTTGTAATATCTGAAATTTTATTATAATGGTTTACTCCTAACACTATATTGTGAGGCTATTTTTCATTTATTTTGTTATGAGCAATATTTCGTTATCTTTGGGTTCTTCATATCGAAGGTTTGAGTGTAGTATAATATAGTAACACCTCGTGCACCAGCTCGTACTTGTGCAATGCTTCGGTGTACTCTAATAAGTGTCAAGCTTCGCTGTTACTGGCACATGGGTGAGGATTTTTCAAGTGAGGCCATGGAAAAGCGAAAACGAATCGACTCTGAAGACCTTCCTCCTCCCCCCCCTTCCGTCTGACAGAACTGGGCTTTCTACGGAGCAGTCACATAGTTTATGAGAGAACTGCCGTAAAAGACTTGTTACAGCTTGATTTCAGAAAAAAAGTTATTATTACCATATTCAATTACACAGAATGTATTTTAATTACTCAGAGTATTATATTGGCAGAAAGTTAATCGGTGATGCCATCGAATTCTGATATAACAAAATCTTGGTTATAGTGACATAAATTAAAAATACTCTTGCAATATATACAGTTCTGAAAAATATACTTTTATAACGAATGCTTAGACATAATGAACCTTTTATATGAGAGTCAGCTTCGTTATAATGAGGTTTCAGTGTATTATGAAATTGCAAGAAAATGTTATTGATTACTTGTAACATGTTACATACAAGTCTGAAAAGGGCTCCACCGAGACGAGTGAAGGGCAGCTGCAGCTGATCACCATCACAGGTTAAGCAATAATTTCGCTGATGCATTCGGCAATATTCACCAAAGGCAAAGCCATCAGTTATTAAGGTACACTGGGCACCAGTTCAAAGTGTACCCCCGTTGGTGCGGGCTTGTGTCCGTCAGTGATTGGGAAAGAAATTCCGCTGACTTCTAAAGTTGCGCTCAGTCATAGACGTGACAATTTGGTAGTAACATTTTGGGCAATATGTGTGATTGACACTCTATTGCAGGCTACATGCCGTGGTCCAAGAGCGCTTTATCTTAGAATCGGCAAACTGGGGACAAAAGCGGAGGATGATGCATTCCATGCTGCTACTCCTGATCAAGTGCTGGTGAGTCGAGAATCCATTAATAAATAGCATGTTTCTCAATCTGAGCCTTTTACGATGTCTTGAGTACTGAAGTCAATGCAGCCTCGTATTTTGCTTTATTACTGCTCCTATGTTTTTGCTTTCTTGCCCACAGGAAGAGCACTCTTATGCTTTCAAGTATCATGCTACAATATACGCCTCCGTAGGTGAGTTACAATACAACATATCTGTGTGCCCTTCGGCATGCCCATGCATTTGTGGGCCTACTACTGTTAACTAGTTGACGCGATTCTCAACAAAGTGTTCCTGTTTCTCTTTCGAAAGACAATCTTGCTAACTTCTTGCATCAACCATACTTACCCAACTCCAACATGCAGCTTTCTTTTTTTGGAAAATATGCCTCATGGTGTACTGACAAAAATTTTGGCCTCGCATTTTTTTTATGCTGCATTGTGGTCTTGGGAGCCTGTTAGTCATAACACGATGCATAATTTTCTGCAGTGCGTGACAGATAATTATTTACAGGCTTGTTATTGCCAACCAGTGTCAGCTTCGGTTTGAGAGAGCTCCTAATAATCACAAGTCGCCAGGTGCGACTACTGCCACCTGGACTATGCAACTCTCAGCCACGTCAGCACACGGAACCTAGTTGCACTTCCGCCCGGCCCGCATAGAGAAGTCTTTTCAAACAGGAAATGAGAAAACAGTGTCGCCAAACACAAAACTTTCAACACCCGTGCTTCTGCTGCCACAGACTTGCGAGCAGCTACTTAGAACTAATCTGCTGGAGCAAACGCGGCAAATGAAAAAAAATGGTTGCCATGACGTTATCATGACTTGTATTGACTGCAACGTGGTGACGTGAGGGAACTTGGCAGGCCCCCCGGGGTCACGGGTCACCTTTGAAGGTGTCAATACCGCGAGGCTCGATCGGGCATGCGAACTTCAAAATTTATTCTGCATACCTTTTTTGAATATCTTGCAGACGATATACGCTTTTTCATGGGAATCGATGTGCCAGGCTATCTTTCTCCCACACAATTTTATGTTGGTATCCCTTTTAACCACGCTGCCCATTTCAGAGTGTGGGGGACTACAAGCTGAAGGCTAGATTCATTGCACAGCTCGCGCACTTCTCTTATGTACTGAGATGAGCTTATCAACACATATTGATTGCGCCTCAGGTTTGCCACGTGGAACCAAGAAAAATTTTACTTGCATTTATTTCATGTGCAGATTTTGAAAAGCACTGCAAAAGTATTATTTTAAGAAATATTGAGAGAGGTGAAGGTTAACATGATTTTATATGCTGACTTCCGTGATTCCTTTTTCTTATGTTCTTTCTTTTTTCCACACACAGCTGTCTAAGACAGCCTCAGAAAGCATTACAAATGCGTTTTATTTCAGGTGTGCAGGCCCAATTCATTCGCCCCCCAAGGAACATGGGAATTCAGGCATACCCAAGGGGCTGCAGCAAGGCTGCCCAGTGCCTGCATCATGTTCAATGCCGTTCGTTTGGAGTTCAAACCGAAGCATGAATCTCGATAAACTGTTTTGTATGATATTTTGGAGGGCCTTGCAGGAGACAGGCCACCATTGGACGTCACTGACCACAGCTAACGTCAGTCAGCAGAAAACAGCATTAAACTGTAAGTGCGCTAATAATACGATAGCCATATTTCATCTTCTTGATTCCTTATCTTCTTTTATTTCATTTATTATTTAGACTTGTTAATTGCGCAGTCAACTCTCATTAATTCAAACTCAAGGGGACCTCTGAATTTTTATTGAATTATCATAAACTTTCAATTATCAGAAATGCCCAGACAGATGACTCCGGGTGAGGTGACACCACACATTATGATTAGGCATTGATATTAACACATTTAAAAATTTTAGGTGGTTTTAAGCCCTAACTGCATGCAGTGAACAGAAAGCAGAGATGTAAGGTCCACAGGTTTGTTGGCCATTTACTACTGATGAGACCTTTTATAGAAATTGTGAATTGCCAACTGCTTCATTGCTATAGGTATGTGCCTTCAGGAGCAAGAATACGAGGAAGAAAAAATTTTGCATTAAAGATGAGGTCAAAACTCTTACAAAAAAGAAAATAAAGAAAAAAAAAACAAGAAATCATTGTTAACAAATTAGCAGTAGACCCGCTATATTTGAAACTCTGAATCATAAATATGTGCCTTCAGCACAAAGCTCTCTATACCAGTTTAGAAGCATCACGGTTTACCATGTGCGTGCTTCGTTTCAAGCATTTGTTTATTTGAAAGAATGTTTTCCTTGGAGGGCCTCAGGTGCTCATTTTTCATATTTAGACTATTAGGATTATATAAGCACACAAACTTGTAAATGGTAGTGGGAAACCAGCTGATGTTTTCTGGTATGGACCTGCAAAAAGTATGTATTAATGGAATGATGCAGTTTAAATTAAGGGGCTTTTAAATACATTGAGAGAATAGAGGGCCAACCAAAAATTGAATTTTGTTTGAAATAACCAAAGGTATGAAGTATCAGAGTTTGAATTATAACGAGTCTACTGTAGTATGCGAGGAAATCATAGGCTGGTAAACTCACCCATGAATCGACTAGCTCAGACTCAGATTGAGTCTGGCGGAGTTAAACTTCGGTGAGTCCGGCAGAGTGGTACGTTGGTGAGCCAGAGTACGAGTGAGTTTACTTGAGAAGAAGTCTTGCGAGTCTGAGTGAGTCCAGTTGACAAAAATATTGGCGAGTCGGTATCCGAGTGAGTTCGGCTCAGTTATATCTTCTCAATTGTGAGTGTGAGTGAGACCACTTGCGGAAAATTTTGGTCAGTATGAGCGCGAGCGGGTTCGGCTGACGAAAATATTCTTAAGTCTGAGTCGGGGTAAGTTTGCTTCAGCAGAATTTGGGTTGGTCTGCGTCCTATTGAGTCCTAAGCGAAAAACATATTTATTGAGTCTTTGTGGGCTCCATCAGTATAGCTGACCAATAATTCCAAATATGTAAAGCCTCCCACTATGGCGTGCTTTGTTATCGTATTGAAGTTGCAGCTTGTAAAGCCTAAGAATTATCTTTTCAAATGATAAAACTGCTCGTTTCTCCTCCCCTCCCTCCTTGGAATTTGATCCAAAGGAGGTCGTTGATAAACACTCTCACATCTTGAAATAAATATGTATTTACTGGAAACAGCTATTCATAACTCTTATTTAAAGGTACGGAATCAAATAGCATTACACGATGCACTGATTAGGTGAGATATTAATATTAAGGAGCATTGCCAACACGACTAAAAAGCTAATTCTACGTTAACACAATATAATCTGAACTATTGATGGCACCATACCTCTAAAAGCTCGTGCAATGTATATACCATACCTTCAAGATGCTATTAGTAGCACTTTTTGCAGTGTATTTGTTCACAGAGCTAATCTCATTCGCGGCGGGACGGCTTCAAAATTTAAGTTTGAATTTTTAACGATACTTTAGTAGTTTCTTTTCACGAAACCCGTAATCTTTGGTGGTGCAATAGTAGTGGTTTTTATGCATCACAACTGGCACGTACTTTAATGTTAGTAGGTGATGTGCTTATAGAGCGCACTATTGACCATCTCTGGCGAAGTAGAAACAGCAATTAATGGTAATGCTTGTTACGAAACTCGCGTGATATTTTCGCAGCGAAGAGAAGGGTGTGTACAAGGGCATGGAAGTGGGCATGTTCTGAAACATGTGCAACTCCAGGCCACCTTTCTTACGCGACATCATAATCCACACTGAGTTTGATCTAGAGCTCTGTACATAATCAGTGAAGAATGATTGCAATGCTGTGGCTTCATCGTTCATGTAACTTCGAAAATGAAAAAGCAGCTCGATTTACGAGCATCGAGCACTCCTGCTGTTGCATTGAAATGCTTGTGTTCTCAGGTGCCACTGTTTTTTTTTTTTCATCAATAAATGTGGTGATTGGGAAAGTCATGAGCGCCAAACAAGTTATTCACTAGAACGAGAGAGATTGTACGGGCGCTAGTGATTGCCTAATGAAGGCGTTGTTTTGCACTGAAAATTTCCCGATAGCAATAAAGGCCGAACCCCATAAACGCGAAAATGCACGAGACAGCGACGAGCGATGCTATGAGCGACGAAACAGGGCGTTCGTGCGACGTATCGCGTGGTAGTTTTTGCGCGATCGCTCGTTTTGCCAAGTATGGAAACCGTCGCTGTGCTGTGCTTAGAGCACCGGAACAGAATGTACATGACTGACGTACTGCCTGTTCTCTTTATGTGCCACGAAATCACCACCTCTTCTCATGCTCCTCTCCGCCCGAGTCACGCGTGCACAACGAAGAAATAACGTAATGTTTATACACGTGCACATTAAAAAAAAGTGCTGTAATGCAATAACAAACACTTTTTGTTCTATTACACAACAATAGATTTTATTTTTAAATTGCATACTGCTCACTACGCGGTTTTTACGGTGCGAGTAGATGGCCTCATGCAAGCAACTGTGGAGTTCGCTCGCCGAAGCCGTCGTGTGAATGAGGTTTGCCTGCGCTAGCGACTGTTTGCGCGAAGGCAATCTACGTTGAGGCTTTCGTCGCTGTCGTGAGCATTTTCGCGGTTATGGGGTTTGGGCTTTAACCATTTTGCCAAATTTGAAGTCCTGTTAAAATGTAGTGCTGACAAAGACCATCAGCTTTTTATTTATTTTATTTCCAAATACTGTTAGCCGTTATGGCCGTAACAGGGTGGGTACAGTAAATGTTAACATAAAACAAAATCAAGTACAACGTATAGTGATGAAGACAGAACTTAAAAAATACATATATATCGAAAACAAGGAAAAAAAATTTGAAAACGCTGTTTATAAAAACGTACATACATATATGTTGTCGTGTCATTCAGTACAAATTAAACAGCGGTTGCGTTATTTAGGGCACCTTGAAAGTTGGTGTTATCAAAATGATCAGGTTTTGAGAAGGAAGGGCGTAGAGATGCACGTTCTTGCCGTACGTGACGCATCACCACTTACAAAAACAAATTTCTTCAGCTTAATGTGGTCTAAGAGTTCTGTTAGCTCTCGGCGATTCGAAGGGTGTTCAAACTTCAATGACATTATCGAATTCTCGAGTCTCCTTATGAGATATTGCTTCCATATTCTGCCAACACGTCTGCAGTTCAGTCGTATCGACACAACATGGCAACACTTATGTTCTTGTATCTTTTATTTTTTTTTTCAAACACCTTTCTATTCATAGTTAGCTTTAAAGTGCGGAAGTCGCCTGTCATTGTGTTCATGCAGTCCACACTGCAAAAACCTTGACGTTGCAGGCATTTCCCAGGGTGAAGATTCTCATACCTGTTATTGCGCTCATTGTGCATCCCAAGGAATGCAGGGGAGCATAGAAAACGAAGCAACAAGGTCGACACTGTGCCGGCAGGGCTGGTATGGTGGTCAAACTGCTCACAGTGTTCTGTCCTTGCATTCTATTCACTGTTCCATTGACGGAGGTCATTCTTCGTGCTGCTGCATTCTTTCGCGAAAGTTCTTGGTTTCCCCTACTGCTCTAGCGTACGAAGCGGCACAGTCGGCGCATGAGATCTAGCCCACTATGTCCTGCACTTTTTCCGCAGGTGCGTGGACTTTGGGACGAGGGATGAAACGGTCATGGTGGTGTATGGCCTGTGGGAAACATCGACCCCTGCCTTTCTCAGTACTATATGAAATAGGGGACTGACGTGCGGCATAACGTTATCCCCGGTCTTTTCTCTTATAGAGAGCTCTGCAAGTGAACGCCTTTGTATAGCTGTTAATTCCGAGGTCACAGATTATATGCTCTCTTCCTTTCACCGCTGTGATGATGACTAGTGATAGGACAATTGGCTATTTTGATTGGTGTTTTCTCTTCTGTTTTCAGTATTCTTCCCCTAGAAAGGTGACTTAGAAACATTTTTGCTCGCGGCAATGACCACGGATATATAAGTATGAGGTTGCTGTTTAGTTTTCAGTTTTGGTGCCTCTGATGTTTTTATTGTTTATTAATGATATTGTAGATGAAATTCTTATCAAAGTGAAACTTTACACGGATGACTGTGTATTGTACTTGGAGGTTGACAGCACGTCCGACCAGCTTCTGGTAAATCTTTTCAAAAAGTGCGAGTAATGGCAAATGCTGATTTACTTTGACAAAACTGTCTTCATGCGAATCACTCATAAAAAAAACCCTTCACTTTCTAGGTACAATGCTAACAATATTTTTTATCTGAAGTCACGTAGTTATAAGTACTTAGGGCTTCACATCTCAAATGATCTCTGTTGGAACAAGCGCATATCACACACAACAACAAATCCAACTTACAAAATGTTTTTTCTGCGTCGTGCTCTCAAGTTTCCACACCTTCTGTCCGTCTTTTAGCGTGCAAATCAATTGTCCTCCCACTATTAGGTTACGTCTCTATAGTATGGTACCCTTTCACGCAAAAAAGAGCAGTGCATTTTGTTTATAATAATTTTTTAAGGAAATCTGTGACAGACCTTTTAAATAGAGCTCAACTTTCACTGCTATTATGAAGCTACCGCAATGCAAAACTGAAATTTGATATCAACTAATTATGGGCCATTATTAAGTAAATATAGATGATATTCTTTTATTTCCTTCAGGCTACCCTACTAGGCAGAAACATGACCTAACTGTCACCCCATTTTACACACGAAATAGCTGTTTTAAGTATTCATTCTTTCCTCTCTCCATAGTCGAGTTTTTTTTGGTCCATGTACTTGCCATTGTTTTTGTCAACACTAAGTTTGTGTATCCACCCTGCTAAAATTACCTAATGGTGATTGCAGTAACTGTAAATAAATAAATAAATAAATAGAGCAAGCTTGCAGTGACTGACTTAGAAGGCTGGCGGGGTTCGCTGAAATGCCTCACCCAGAGCTGCTGAGCACAAAACAAAACTTAGTTGAGGCCAATAGGGCAACGTTTTTAGATACTGTCAGTTGGAAAAGCCCGCTCCGGAGGCGACACCTACTCGTATCCGCTCTGAGGGGACGGCACTGGTGTAGCGTTGATTGGGCCGCCGCCACCGGCTTCCCAGGGCAATGTTAATTTTTTTTAGTTTGCTTGCTCAGATCAGAGAGGCGAGAGTTCGAAGGTTTGATTTTGGTCATGACAAATAGTATTCAACTTGTTACACGACAATCAAGCATGCTTAAGTGAATTAGCAGTTTAATATCGTAAACATGCCGACCTGCGGCGCGCCGGGCTGTCGAAATGGCTATGCCTCTGAGGAAAACACTTGCGATCGGCGGTACTTTTACAAACACCCAAATTACCCTGTAGTTCCTAAAGACTCAACAGCTGCTATTCCACAAAACGCCTTTGGAATGACAGTAAAGACATACATTTCCGACTTACATTTCGAATCCGAGGACCTAATCACTTGCTATGAGCACATTGTAAAGGGAAACGTGAAAATTTCTTGTGTTAGGTAGAAAGCCCAGTGTCATTCTTTCAATTTTCTCGAATATTCCTGCACACTTCTCTAAAACAGCAGCATTAAAGCGCAAAAGGAAACGAGCGATACTTAGAGAAACCACGAATTTCGAGGGCCGTGTGTCGGGAAGTGGTAGCGATGTGTTGTATGCAGAGGTAGCGACCAAACAATGTCCCAATCCTAGAATGCCAATCTTATCCAGGAAGAAGTTTTTTTTTTTTTTTTTTTCAAATTTGCTCTTTGTGCTGCGCTGAAAGCTTCAAAGTGAAGTTAGACAGAGGGTAGTGCTACGTGACAGAGTGGCTGATTATTTCCCCGCTTCTTAATATATCGAGCCCTGTTGCTGCTGATAGGTTGATGTCAGAGGGGAACATACTTCCTCTGCCAACATCATCAAGACTTAAACAAAAATTATCGAAGAAATGCCTTGCGAATCGGGATTAAAAATGTTTTGCTCAGCGCCATCGGTTATTGTGCTGGAGGAAGGCTGGTCATCAGTTAGTCCACTTGACTGGTAGAGCCTTTTGAAAGCCATGTGTTCATTTTCTGAATGTCGTTCTTCACTTTCTTTTTCAGAAACTGTGGCCCTAATAACTGTCTTTCTTAGTTTCTTTAGCAGTCGAGCAAAATTTTTGGTGAAGCTTCGTTGGTTTTGTAGATTTCTGCTTTATTTTTTATTCTACCGATCTCGCCAATTCTACCTTATGTTCTTGCATGATAGGCATAGGTATTTCCGGGACAGCCCAAAAGTGCTCCACATGTCCCGGATCTTCAGGGCTGATGTTGCGGTCGAAATCAAAGGGAATAAGCTGCTATGACAACCCGTGCATATCTTCAGGTGATCAACATAACTGAGAAAACTTGATACCATGTGCAGCTTGTGAGTTTCAGCTGGCTTCCTAAACCATGTTTGCTGTATGCACACAAGGGAACAACCTTCCCCCCACAATTGAGGACAAAGGTGAAGTCTTTTGTTACCACCATTGCCTTGTCGATTTAGACAGTACCTTTGTTTTGAACAACTTTGAAAAAAGAAAAAGACTTCTTCCTGGATAAGCTCGACATTCCTAGATTGAAACTTTCTTTCGTCTTGTACTGCAGGCAACCAAGTTGCTTCTTTGGAAATTTGCAGTTTTTTCTACAGGTTTTCCCGCTTAGTTTGATTCAAGTGCCAGTGATAATAATTCTTGTGCCAGCCAATTTAATCTGAACGGCAGCGCTTTTAATCCGAGGGCCAATTATTTAATACATGTGCTAGTACATTTAATCCCAGTGCCATTGGAATTAATTTGCATGCCATATAATTTTATCCTTGCACCAGCCATTTTAATCCAAATGTCTCTTGTGTTAATGCAGTTGATGTTCTGTAATGGTCCTAAAATTGATTAAGCATGATATTTGTGAAAGAGTACCTAAAAAGCGCCATCATTTGAGGCTATTTAGTTACGTCATCGCCCACTTGTGCTACATTCCTCCTTTTATCCTTTCCTAGGAATGTTTCTTAGTGGCAAGTGACTCACATGAGTGGATTAGAGTCGTGAAAAATATCGCGTTAGTTGGATTCTTTATTTGCTTATAATTTGCATCCTAACTGCCATGCATATCGGTCGATGTAATTTGCTGGTATGAAATATGTGGCTTACAGTTCCTCATACTCTTGACATGAAACTAAATTAAAGCTAAATTTTCTTCCTCTCTGTGTATCATGGGTCATTAGTCGCCATGCCTGCTTCAAACACAGAGGTGGCTGCTACAAAAGCAGATTTTGCCTGCTCCAAAATGCTGGAAGGCATTCTGATCGCTGGAGTGAGTGGCTAAGCAAACAATATATTTATTGAGCGAGTTTGAGTAAGTTTCATTTGTTTTGCTGATTTATGGAGGAAATACATTGATTGCAAAAGTTCCTATTACCTTCTGTGGTAGCTCATCTTCCAAAGTGTCTCACTGCTTGGCTTGAGCATGCAAGTTCACTTCATGGCCACTGTGGCCATATTTGGAGGTGGGTGAAATGAAGGAACATCTATCTATCATGAACTCTTCTAAGATGCTGTTCACAGGACCACATAAAGAACTACGCAGTAGCCCGAGAAACATACCAAGGGAACATGCAGCTAAAAGCCAGGGAGTAAGTGCTGCTGTCATGGCTACTGGCGGTGCTGACTAGCACTCCTTGATATAAATACTCACATGTATATCCCATAAAGTGAATGGGATGATGACCGCCGCGTTAGCTTAGTTGGTAGAGCATCGGACGCGTTATTCGAATATCGCAGGTTCGCTCCCTGCCTGCGGCAAGTTATCTTTTCATCCACTTTTTTTCTTCACATTTATATTACAATTGCTGCTAATAACATCCCCATACTCTTCTTGGCATTACTGTTTGTTAGTTCTCCTAATATTGTGTCTAACAAAGAAAAACAAGCCCTTAACTTTTCACAACCTTGTTTTATTCACACTGCTTAATCCTCGGTGTTAAATCCCTCATTATGTTGTTAATTAACCAAGTTGCCTACTGCAGCTCACATTTGCAGCATATGCGGTGGGAGGCACTGGTACTTAAATGCAAACGCATGAGACAATGCTAGCCGTCACCCTATACAAATTTTTACAGGCCAGCCAATCTTCCGCTGTTAAAATTAATAGCATCATGCTCTCTGGGGCCATTTTATTCGATGGTACTTGTGGAAACAGAGTGGCAGTGTGCTAGGTGGAGTCATCTAAGCCCACATTTTCGCAAATTTGGTTTGCCTGAAAAGCTGCCGTCTCATGCCAGCCATCAAGGAGGTGACAAGATTGTGTTCCCAAGTATGACATGTGGACAGTACTGATCACTGTATAGGCAGGCTTTACACCCTATGTCAGCTGAGTGACGGAGGCATTGAATAACAGTGTGCGCTGTATTCTCAGCCCCAGCAGCTTCATTTTCTATCTTGTGTGAATGCTAAATCATATGCCTACTTAGATTTGCGTGTGTGTTCTGGAGTTGTAGCCATGCCAGAATTGTGAGTCCCTATTCATGGTGTGCCTCCTAATATTTTTTCGTGTGAAACTTTACGAATGAATTACTTTGTCGTGCAGGTTCACTTCACCAGGGCCTCGACCGGCTCTTGGTGAAGCAGCAGGGAGCCGCAGCATCCAGTCATGGTACGTTCAGGATATACCTGGAAACGTGAACCGGTCCTGGGGGTGTATTGCAATGTGGCATGTGGGTCAAAAGAAGTGGGACCTCCCCCACTTGAGCAGAAGGCGTTATAAACTCTTTCTTCCTGGTGCCACACACTGCCTCTCCTGAGGAAGGGTCTGGGTTCGACAGGAAGCATCGGGATTTATCATTTTACAGTGCTTATAAGTTACTACTTTAATTGAATATGTTGGCTGGTGTCCCTTTTAAATTCTTACGTCGAAGATGAAAGGCAATATTCACCTGGGCACTCAGCCTTGTGCTAGACGTGCATCTTTGTGGATGATGATGTGACAGTTATTATTTACACAATTGTAGGTCGCCCCCTTTCGTCCTAATTTGAAATCCGATGTTGGGGGCCTAGGAGTCACCTAGGATCGGTAACTAGTTTCGATTGTTAAAGGGGCCCTCTAACACTTCTCATGACCCCATTGTTTTACATACTTTTTTAGCTGGTTGCATACACTGAAGGTTTAATAGATAAGTGTCGCAAGAACGGCAGCGATAGGAGTCAGCAGTGCAAAGTTATTCAGCAATATATCAAAACGCAGTGAAATGGATGCTTGCCCTCAACTCGACTTTCTCGGGCTCACCGGACGGCGTTTCGCTCACCCTATGACATCAGAAGGCTGCCCAATGAAATTAATTGAAAGCCCTATTGTACAGAAAGCTCGCATGCCATATTGCTCAGCATGTCCGAGGTATTGAAGACGCCATTGCGATGGTAACAAATAGTGTGGTGCTTGAAGAGGAAATGACATGTGCGAAACAAGGAAGCTCGCGAAAGCTTCTATATAATGTTTTGTAACTTTATTGGTCTTTATTTTTGTGTGCATCTATATATCAACGCTTTTACATTCTTTTTTATTTATTTTCTTCAAACAATGGCACCTGAAGCCTCCACGGCGAGTTTCCTCCAGTACAGTGGCAGTTTGGCGCATTCTTTGACCAGCTTTGCAGTTTTCAAGCTCAAAAAGTGGAAGAGTTTTCTCTTCCGTTTTCGGTGAAAAAACTTGCTAAAAAAAAGAAACGCAATACTAGGAATCCCTATTTTAATGCAATGCTGCGACAACATTTAGTAACGTTACATTTATCCAATCCCCGGCCTCCGCCTTCCGTTGTGATTTCCACTCACAGTAGTTCTGCTGAGTGCCACTGGGAGTTATGCAGTCAGTACCAATGCTTGAAAGCGTTAGAGGTCCCCTTTTATCATTTCCTAAAAAATTACCCTTGCATATTCTTGTGAAGCTAGCTTTATTGCATAGCTTTCAAATGCTGCCATGAAGCCAATTTGGCACACTTGATCTTGACATTTTTTTTCTCTGAGATATCATATGGTACGAAGAAACATTATTTAAGCCCATCAGGGCCTGAATTAGCAAGTAGCGGGCCACTCCCACGCCGGTACAGATAGGCCTAACCTCTCCGTCACATCGTCGGCCCGTTGGACTACCCATAGCTGCGTCCTTAAATCCGTACTGCATATATAGCGCAGCATCCCTGTGGAGGATGTAACGTCTTCAACCATAACGCAGGGCACCGCCAGAGCATATGATCTAAGCTGGCAAAATCTGAGCAAAGCACGCATGTGTTTGATGTCTGAATTTCTGGAGAAAATCTTGTGCAAGAGTGCCGGACTGGGATATGCCCCGAATTGCAGGAGTCTGAGCATTAATGCCTGAAGCCCGTTCAGTTTACTGTGCGGTGGCGGATCCTTTCGCCTCCTCAGATAAAAGTTTCTAGTAAGTTCATCGTACGTGGTTGAGATATCTTTGTTGTCTAGAACCTCATCACAGGTGAAGGCATACGTGTGATGACCGGCAGCGTTGTGTCCCCGACGATCGGATGCGAGAAGTCGAAGAGAGTTCTGGCACGACTGCGATGTCGGCGGTGTTGCAACGCTGGTGGTTCCGGGAGGCTAGTGCTTGCAGGTGACTTCGAGCAGGTTGAGCTAACTCGAGGCGAAGTCCCGATGTCTACGTTGCAGACGTTAATATCGCGTCACAGCTAGACGAACGGCTAAGTTTAGGTGGCCAGCCGATACAGAGCCACACTAAAAACTTCTAGAAGAGATGCTTGTTGATCTGTTTCTACACCATCTTGGTAAGCGACTAGTCTGCCTAGCAGGGCAAAATCCTGCGCTTAAATCCCCCTCGTGTCTCCTCGCTCTCTTCCTTGGGGACAAGAGACCTCTACCTGGGTCCAATCATGCGCGTTTAATTGAGGGGAAACTCCGCCCCAAAAATATTTTTACCCCACCCTTTTTTAATAGGGAGAGGGGCCTCAACTAGCGCACCATGCTGTTCAGAGCTACGTGGTCAACGACTCCTCGCGTAGCTCTGTGCGCCGTCTCGTTGAGGTCCCATGTGAGCTGTCCTCGATATGTCCTGTGTGAGCTTTGAACCAGACCATTTTGTGTTGCTGTCCTTCCTTATTTCGCAGGATCGGTCAACCCCTTTAAAATCGCACAGCAAAAAAAAAAAAAGGAATGTAAACGGTGAGCACACTTAACAAAAAAACATTATTTAGTAGGATCCGCTGAATCGATTTTTTAAAAACAAATGTGCTTATATTTTACTTTTTTTTCTATGCAATATAAAGGGTTCGACCTACATTTTAGTGTAATTACAATCATGTAAATACGTACAGTTGTTGACTTTCTCAGTTGCACTTCGTTAAGAAGTTTGCGGGCATAACGGGACAGCAGGAAGCGCAGGATCGGGTTGACTTGCAGAACATGGGAGAGGCCTTTGCCCTTGAGTGGCCATAGCCGGGCTCACAATGATGTTGATGAGATGCACGTTGGTGAAGTAAGGGATGCTAGTGTAAGAGTGCCATGACATTCCATCATTTGTGAAGTGCTGCGATGAAATAATACAACTAGTTTGGTTGCCGAGCATTACTACCTTATCCTGAGCGGCGCTTTGGCTCATAGGAAGTTCAGATCGCATCACTCGGCAAACTGCAAGACCAATGTTCGTTAAAAAAATATAACGAAATGTTTGCACAATCTCATCCCTCTTGTAAGTGCTACTAATTGCTTTAGTCGGGCTTTATGTCGTATTTGTCTATTCATCTACAGACTTGAAAGCAGCACTCCCCCCCCAATTCACTGAATGTAGGGGGGCACAAAGTCTGCGCCTCCTAATGACTTAATAGGGAGGGGGTGCTGCAATAAACCTTGCGCCCCCCCCCCCCTTCTGAAGGGGAACCCGCGCATGCTTACGATGGCTATTCGCATAAACCATGTATCAAGAATCCATCACCACTGTGCTGAATACTGAACTTAATACTTAACTGTATACTTAACTGAATACTTAACTTTGGTGTGGGTTTCTTCAAACTTTGGGTTGGAGTCTAAATCATCTCCCAGTTTCATACCCAACCAGACAAACTTCTGTCAAATGTTTACATTCACGTATAATACAGGTGCGCTGGCTGTGAAAAAAAGGGATAGAGTAAAGCATAGCTAGCCCGGTCAGGAGTCGCGCGCTTGCTCTGAGAGCTCGTCTCCATACCGGCTGTGACATAGCATAAATAAAGAACCAGGAAGAAAGACAAAGATAAAAAGTAGAGAAATATACAGACCAAGCTAAAGAGAGGAATAAAGGGAAGAATGGTAGAACAAACAGAACCAGAAAAAGAAAACAAAATGAAGGAAAAAATGAAAATAAAGATTGAAACCCTTGCAGGTCCGCACTTCCATCAGACTCGGAACCACTAGTGCGAAGCTGACCTAACTTTTTGGAAAACATTGCGTTCAAAACGCGTGGTCACTGTGTGTGTGGGGGGGGGGGGGGGGTGCACTGGCGATTGTCGCGGCATGTCACGGCCAAAATGGGAAACTTATGTAGGGGAACTCCGAGATTACGCGCCGGCGCGCAACCTGACCGCAACCTGTGCGCAACTTCGGAGGCTCATCAGTCCACAGCACGGTGTAAGATACAAAAGCACTTTAGGTGGGGACACTCGCAAGGCGCGATCGACCAGATAAAGTAACAGCGACGCTCTTCCGTTGGACCGCTGCCGGCAGCGCGCACCTATCGGCTAGTTGACGCGAATTTGAAGACAAAAAGAGGCGTTAACTAGAAATTAATAGCATAGGAGGATTGTTCGTGCCAAAGAGTGAATATTCATTAGTGTTGTCAGCAAGAATAACGGGGGCATGAGTGATGTGGAGAGCACGATCTACATGCCTCTCTATGGAACGCATGCTGACATTTGAAGTGGTTCTCGCACGTCCTGTGAAGTTAATACTGCTTAGGGTGTAACAGACACGCACATAACGGACATGCTTTCCAGAATTTTGTATGAAGCGGTTCGTTATTTGAATGCGCTAGTTTTAGTGCACTCACTGATGGTCGGTGGAGCACTCGTATCGGCAAGCTGGATCTGGGAAGCGCGCGAACGGTGTCGGGGGACGCACATGCTTTTGATGACCAGCAAAGCAGAGCTTGAACGAAACCGTGCGATGACCCATAAAAAGAGATGCAATTACTTAGATACATTGACCAATTTGTTGGCGTGCAATACATACAGTTCGGTGTTGCGCCAACTTTCATTTTCGTGCCTCTAATAACCATGCGGCGAAAAGTTCACGACCCTGGGATTACCCGCTGGGAGACATGTTTATGGGGACCGTGCGCATATATCCCCTTGCTGATTTCACCATCCCATCCCGGCTGTGGCGGCTGCATTTTCGATGGAGGCGGAAATGTTGTAGGCCCGTGTGCTAAGATTTGGGTGCACGTTAAAGAACCCCAGGTGGTCGAAATTTCCGGAGCCCTCTACTACGGTGTCTCTCATAATCATATCGTGGTTTTGGGACGTTAAACCCCACAAATCAATCGATTTCACCATCCCTTCTTGCCCTCGTGCACGGGAAAAGGATTGCAGTATTTTTTTTTTCACATTGAACAATGAGCGGACCGTTTTAGGAATGCCATTGGAAACTTGCTCACAGAAAGCAGTGAGTGCACAACGTAATACAGTGATAAAGAGTGCTTACCAGCGCAAACGAGTGGGCAGGAGGGGACAGGAGGGAATGGTTGCAAGATGCAGGGATCGCACCACACGTGAAATCATAGAGGCAGA